GGAGCAGACAAAATCTGTAGCAGCTGCGCATGGCAACCAATCAGCTTCTCTGGGTTTTTTTTTCCAAATCTTAACTGAACAAAGAAGCTGATTGGTTGCCATGCGCAGCTGCTGCAGATTTTGTCTGCTCCAGTTTTGATAAATTCCCCTCAAGGTGCTTCCAGAATTCAGGTAGGTGTAAGTCCGTGACCCGCAGGTGTGTCTGGCTGAGCCGTTCAGGGGACAGAAACATCAGAGCAACGTACACAGTGCAGCACGCACCATCTCAGCAGCTGGATGCAGAGACAATGAGCAATCTGGAAAAACCCAAAACTCCCCCCGTGCCCCAACTACTTGTGGGTGGAGATCTGCATCTGGCCATAACATCAGCTCCCGGCAACGTCACATTTCAGTAATGCTGACCGATTTCTTCCCGACAACCAATCAAGAGCCTTCCTTCACTACTGCTGGGGCAGGTGGGACCATGAAAGGGAGGAAAATTGAGAGTTTTACCCCTTGTGTGGCGCTTAACAGAGGTACGGGGAAAATGTGGAGGAAGGGGGGCAGTACTTGTTAGGTACACTGGTTCGCGCTTGTGGTGTGGTGGGTGTAAGTACGGGGGGCGGGGGTTGGTGGCGTAGGTGTGCGGCTTCCGTTCTGTCTGGACCGGGGTGTCCAACACGTGTGCTGTAGGGAAACAAAAATTGGAGACGGAAGCGCCACTACCTAGCGCAATAAATGTGGTAGAGTGGGGTGTAGGCGTAAGAGTTGTACTCACCTAAGGCTGGGTGAGTATTCGCTTGTAATCGTCCTGTGGTGGTCAAGCGGATGGGGTGGAGTGGTAGTGGTAGTAGTCCCTCTTTTTCAGGGTGGCGTGGTGTTTCGACCCAGTAGGCAAATGGGGATACAAACACGAGGGGGTGAGGTATGCAATGGTGGGTGAAAAAGGGTTGAGCTTCTGTAACTCACCGTGGGGATAGTGGAGGGCGACTCTCAACGATGACGGCGCGGCCTGTGTGGTGCCTGGGCGGTGGGCCGTGGAGTGGTCCTCGAGAGTCCTGGCATGGGTGGCCTCCGATGACAGGTGCTGTGGAGTGGTGGAGCGACGGGAGGTCCTAGATGGTCCTAGATGGGGGAACTGAAGAGCGGTTGGAGGTGCCGAAATGTTCAGTCTCAATGGCGGAGAATTCACGTTGGGGCTTTCGGGCAGGACCATGAAAGGGAGAAGCCGATTGGTTGCTGGTGGACTAGGTCGCCCAGAAGAAGGGACTCTGCGCGGCCCCGAAACGTTGGCTGATTGACGATTTCATAAAAAGTGCTTTACTTCTTGCACACATCGAGTGCTGGTGACTTCTATTATGGCTTCTGGTGGAGGATGCTGGTGGAGGATGCTGATGGAGGATGCTGTCCCTGGCGCTGGCCTTTCGGTTCAAGGGGCTGGAATAAAGAAAATACACTCACCTGATCCTCGGTCCTGCAGGGGGTCAAGGTTCACCTCCCTCCCCCAGCGGCAGTGGATGTCCCTTCGGCATCCTCACATCTAAATGCAAGTGAATGGGCCTGCATAAGACATGATGACTACAGGGGTCCCTAAAACACAGAAGCCTGGGGAGACGAGGCTGCGGAAACTGGTCCAGCAACCAGGTGGCACCGACGATCAGGCGAGTATATCTTCTATACATTAGCCCCTAGACCAAAACGAACACTTAAAGGAGAACTATGAGGGGGGGGGGGGGG